TAGCAAAAAATTTGGATAATGATGAGAACTGCTACAAGTCTGTTTTGGAGATTATTGATGGGAAGTGGGATAGGCAGCTACATTGGCCATTGCATGCAGCTGGTTATTATTTGAACTTAGTTTTTTTTTTTTTAATGTTGACAAGGATATATACACAAATGACACAATTATGATTGAATTTAATAAGTGTGTAGATGTGCTAGTCCCTGATCCTGATATCCAGGATATTATATGCGCTGATGAGCCGATAAATTACAAGTGCTCATTAAAGTCTTTTGGGAGTCCAATGACGATGAGGCAAAGGACTAAAATTGATTCAGGTACCGTAGTATTAATATTCTTAAGTTCTTCAAATTCAAGCAATCAAGTTTCATATTTATAATTCTATTATTTATTTATGATTTTATTCTATATCTTTGTAGCCCATTGGTGGAGCCAACATGGGTGTGTTCGCCAAATTTACAAAAGTTGGCCTTCGAATCCTAAACCTAACCACTTCCTCATCCGGTTGTGAGCGCAACTGGAGTACTTTTGAAGGGGTAAGGCCGTAAGGGTAATTTGTATGATTGTATTAATAATACATGAACCATAGATTTTAATTAGTTTTATTTGATTTTGTTAGATTCATATAAAGAGAAGGAACATGCTTGAATCAAAGAGGCTCAATGGCCTAGTCTATGTCAAATAAATCGATTATTGAAGGACAGGTTTGTCAAGAGAGATAAGAGTGACCCCATCAGAAAAAAAAATATGGACAATGCTATGGAGTGGTTAGTTGATGATGATGAGATCGAGGGGCATGAAGAATTGACATGGGACATGGTCATGGATGCTTCAGGGACATCAGCTGACCCTTATAGGGCCACTAGATCTTCTGCACAGAGAATGATGGTAGAAGAGGAAGATGAGGAAGAGGCAGATTCAGAAGAGACGGAGGAGGACAACCAATATGTCGATGAGGGTGACAACTCCGATAAATATGATGCCAATGCAGCTGACCCTAATTTTTCTAATAATGAATGATGAATGTTGAATAATTATTAAACTTTGGACTTTGATTGAACTATGAATGATAACTTTTAAGTTTTATTTGGATGTAGATTATGGACCGACTTATGATTATGCTTATGGAGTGTGTGCTAATGTGTAGTATAATTTCAATTCTGATATGCCATAAATACCTAATTCTTATATTTTATATAATATATAACCGTAGAATCTTTTTTGGATTCAACTGGGCCGCTCAGGTTCTGGGTGCCCGCCTAGGCGCTGGGCGGCTTGGACCCCCCAGGCTGCCTAGGACCCGCCTAACGCTTTTTAAAACTATAGTGTGGAGACCTGATTGTTTGAATGCCTTGCTGCCTTATGAGCAACTTTTAAGTGGGAGTAGGATTGTCTGTACTTCCTAGATAAAGATTAGAGTTCTGCGAGAGTTGGAGGAGGATGAACTACAACTCAATGGCCTAAAAGAGGAAGATTCATTGAAGTTGTTTCTTGGCAAAGCTGTTCGGAAGAATGATATAGAAAAAATTAGTGTTAAGTTGAAAAAGGTGGGGAGATGTATTGTGAGGAATTGTGAGGGCCTACCCCGTGCATTCATGGCTGTAGCAGGCATGGTTTACAAGTCATTAGAAGTAGCATACTGGGGTAATGTGAGGAAGATTTTCTATTCAGAGTTGTCTAATAACTCTCATCTTCAAATTGACCCACTTCAAAGAACAAGAGACATTGTTTGGTTGAGTTACAACCTATCCCCTCAACCATTGTTTCTTGTATTGCTGCTTATTCTCTGAAAGAAATGGGTTCAAAATAAGTGCTTTAATTAGGTTATTGGTGGCTGCAACCATTGTTTCTTGTATTGCTGCTTATTCTTTGAAAGAAATGGGTTCAAAATAAGTGCTTTAATTAGGTTATTGGTGGCTGAACAGTTAGTTGGAGCTCAAAGGGAGATAAGAGTTGAGGAGGTAGCCATGAGAACTACCATGAAATTGGTCAATAGGAATCTAATTGAAGTGGTAGAGAGAAGCAAGACTAGTTCGAAAATGTCAAGTTAATTAGATTTTGCACCAGGCTGCCCTATCTATATCTGAGAATTAGAATTTTGGGGCACCATTAAAATTTATAGGTACCAAACTAAATGATATAATTCGGTGCCTCTCATTTGATGAGTACAATGAGAATGATGGAACACTACAAAAGCTCAGATGTAAGTCTCATCTCTAATCTATTCTTACTTCTGGTGGCACTATTAATAATTTACATTTATCCGTTTCTTCTATTCTATCAAAGTTGAAATATTTGAGGATATTAGACTTAGGAGGTATTAAAATTGAAGAGTTACTTGGTAAAATAGGAAATTTAAAGCTCCTTAAGTACCTTGGATTGAGAAATACCTCGATCAAAGAGCTTCCAAAGTTACTGCAAAATCTTTGTAAGCTGGAAGTGTTGGACGTTAGGGGGAGCAATTTGAAAGCATTGCCTGATATCTCAAGCTTGAAACAATTGACCCATCTATTCTTAAAGCAAAATCAAGTTTCTCATGAACAAATTTTGCTTAAATTGCTCAGCTGTGGTCAAACAAATTCTTTCTATGATGGATGTGTGGGGGGAGAATAAAGGGATTAAAAAAACTTGAAACTGGGAAATTTTAGATGCATAATGATTAATTATATATTATAATAAACATGATTAAAAAAATATTAGAAAACACTTCCATATCATATGATTAAAAATACAAGTAAAACCCTGTATAAGTTTCAATGTTATGACATTAAAAAATCTTCAAAAAAATTATTTTTTCCCTAAAAAAAGGAAAATAAAGATATTGAAATTCAAAAAATGTAATTTTTTTAAAAAAATATTGAATCACACACCATATGAATCAATAAACTATACACCAAAAGCCCTAATTTTATTAAAAAATAATAATTTTCAACATACTATTTCTCAAAATCCTCAAAACCGGTCCCCATTATGGCCCAAAATCCTTGCTCTTTTCGAGTTCTATCCATTGTACTGGATATGTAATATGGAATGCAGGTTCAGTATGATCCTTTTTATCGAATTTCAAGAAATTTGATTAAAATTTGTGGAAGAATAGATTGGTATAGCGGAACCTTAAAATTTGTGGTACATTCACGTAAAAAAAATTTGTAGAAAAAGAAATAGGAAGTGCAAATTAAATATACTGATTTGTATGAGAATTAATTCTCTATAGATCATACCCATGATTTCTCAAAATCCCTCAAACCGATCCATATATTGGCCCCCAAAATCCATGCTCTTTTTGATTTTATTATCTATTGTATCGGATTTGTAATATGGAATAGTGGCTCTCTATGCCTATCTTTAATCAAATTTCAAGAAAATTGATCCAAATTTGAGAAAGAATAGATTGGTATGGCGGAAACCTAAAGTCTATGGTACATTCATGTACATAAAAGTTTGCAGAAAAAGAACTACGATGTGAAAATTAAATATACCTTATTTATATGGGACCTAAATCTCTGTAGATTATAACCCCACTGAAACTGGATCAAAATCGTCCCAAATCAGCACCATTGTCTTCAATTTTGATTGACTATTAAAATTTCATGAACTTTTCAATTTCTTTCCCTTAGAAGCAAAATCGATGGGGAATTCTAGTTTAATTCAATAAATTTATACAATATTCGATTATCTTCAAATTGAAACAAATTCTATAAAAGTTGATTACAAATCAATGCTAAAATCTCAAGGAAGGCAGATTTGTACAAAACCTTCAAAAAACCCTTTTGTTCAATCAACAAATCTCGTAGTGTTACTCATAATTGATAGAATTTAGGTTTAATAACCATTTTTCATTGATTTTATAGCAAATAATTCTCCAAAAAGGTATCACGAGTGGATAAAAAATTGACCGCAAAAAACCAATGAACAAACTGCATTTCTCGTGGTTGAAAAGTGGAATCACTAATTCCACTATAGCAAATCAGTGATGCACTACAGTGGAATCACCGATTCTAGAGGTGATACGGCTAGTCCCTGATATACTACTTATCAGGAACTGATTCGGGTAGGACAATATTTTATCCAGATCAGTTGATTTCGATCCAGATCACTGATTTTTAAGGCCTCGAATGCGTGAAACACCTCACTGCCCTAACCTTCTTTGACAAAGACATAATCATCTCACTTTCTTAATTAGGAGCCGTTAGCCCACTTTCAAGGTACATTGGACCCTATAGCCATTTGTTAGAAGTTGCCCCCCTTTTGACTAATTTTGGATTAGCACTCTAAAAGTTAATAACGCATGGGGGAGGGGGGACCCCACAAAGGGCTTAAAAAGAGGAGAGACAAACTAAAAAAAGAGGAGACAGAAAGTGGGTTCCATGGAGGTAGTCACCATGCGAAATAAATGAGAGGGTGGTGAAAAGTATAGAAATAGAAATAAGATAAAGATTGAGGAGCCAAATATCTAAACTTGGGTATTTTCAATTAACCCCCCTTCTATATTTTAGGGCTTCCCTCTACGTGGCAATGCATGTTTGTCCATTGGCCCACCCTAAAGAAAGAAAAGCCTTGCTGTGAAACCACCCTAATTTGAGCTATTGCTTATCTTTCTCTCTCGAGAAACACTGTGCCCTAACTCTCTCTCTGCTCCCCCTCACTACTACTTAAAGGGGTCCTCCCCCACTGCTAATTCCACAGCAAGTCAGTGTCCTTTTACTCTCTCTCTCTCTCTTTCTTTGTGCTTTGCTTTCGGTTTTCCCTTTGTTTTTCATTTCTCTTGTCAACCAATAATAGGGTGACTCTTGTAACCCTAGTTGGTTTTCAGAGAAGTTATTGTCTTTTCCCTTCTTTATTGTAGAAATCCTTACATGTCGCATCAGAAGAGGACGGAGGGGTCAATGGGCTTTCATTTTGACGCAATGACCCTCGAGGGGAGCCGAAAAAGGAGGGGTGAGTCATATGTATCTAGGATAGGTCAAGGAACCATGAAAGCTCCAAGGATGGAGCTGTTTTCTTGTTTTACACCAATGGCTCTGTATCAAAATCCACAGTTTTACTACCCTTTGGCCACAAATGCTACTGGCCCAGGTAACAATGACCCAATAAAAGTACCGTTGGTGTTAGTACTACTAATAAAATATTGAAACTATCGATATGCCTTTTCTTTAAGCCTCTAATCAAACATTGTTAGAGGAAATACCAGAAAAAAATGAGACACCATTAGCCAGAAGCCGCTGTTTTCTCTCTGCCATTTTACTGTCACTGAAGAAGCAAGCCCAATTTGGTATAATCTGTCTCATATTCTATAGACATGGTTACCAATTTGGAAGTGCAACAAGAATAATGATTTTTATTTTTTTTTATTTTTTATTTTTTCTGATTTCCTTTTCCTATTCCTTTCTTTCATTGTTTAGTTCAAAAGTTCCAATCCAAGGAACTTTCTGAAGGGAATATTTTCCCTTTTGGTTTTGTGGGGTTTTCTCTATGGGTGTGTTGAGATCTTACCGAGTGAAAACACACTTGTTATTGCATGGGATTAATTAGATTTCATATAGATCAAGTTCAGGATATGTCTCTCACTTTACTGTGTGGTCATTTGATTACCTCAGGTTTAGGAGGAGAGAGGTCGAATGGGAACTTTAATGGAGTTTCAGGTGGAAGTAGGGATCCTTTAACTTCATTACAGCTACTGGAACTGGAAAACCAGGCTTTCATCTACAGATGCCTGGCAGCAGGATTGCCAGTGCCATCCACTTTGCTGCAGTCTCTAAGCGACCTTAATCTACGTGGGTTCTTACCTGGATCACTTAATCTGAACTTCGCAGCTAGTTTCTCTCTCTAGTTCTCCTTTCAAGTCGCTGATTTTGTTTTAAAAAAAAACAAAAAACTCTCAGGTTTTTTTTTTTCAGGATTGCTACAAGAATACAATAATGTCAAGACAAAAAAATGGCCGTTACTTTCTAGATTTGTTGGACTAATTTGTTAGCCTGTAACAAAATTTAGTCAGTGAGTTAAACATAGTAAATGATGTGGATTGAACTAAAAGAATTAAACTGCAGGCAATTCTGCATAACCAAAACCAGTAGATTTCTGAATCATGAAATTGAATGCTTAAGCTTTTATATATGTGAAATATTTAAGTAAGCAGTTTCTTTTCCTTCATTTGACTAATGTTTAAGGTCATTCAGCATCTTCCATTTCTCTTTCTCATTTATTTCAAAGATATCAGGTTAATTTGACAGTCTTTTTCCTTCTTTCTATTGATTACTAATGAAGATGGAAGTTATTAATCAGCTCTATATCTCTCTCTCTCTCTCTACAGTGGGTGGCTCTCTCTCTACAGTTGGTGGAGGATCTCTCTTTACATTTGGTGGAGGACAAGTTCGAAGTGGCTATGCAGGCAACCGGGAGGCAGAACCAGGGCGATGTAGAAGAACCGATGGCAAGAAATGGCGATGCCCAAAAGAGGTCGTTCCTGGTCAGAAGTACTGTGAAAACCATGTTAATAGAGGACGGCGTTCAAGAAAGCCTGTGGGCACACAGGCTCGACAAGCCGCCTCCTCCAGGGCTTCCTCCACAACTTCTCGCCGTTTTCAAGTGAGGAGGAATTCACCATCTCAGGCCTTCTTCTCCAGGTTAAATTCCAGCTCACTTAAAAGCTTTACTTTGTCCATCACTTTGCACATGTATTCAGTTTTCATGGTTTTTGGTCTTGTTTTGTTAAATGGATTGTTCTTCCTCTGATTTCCTTTCTGGGTTTTGTTTTTGAAGGCCTTCTGTGCAACCCAACATAGGAAGGGGGATGTTCAGGTTTCCACAGAGGGACCTGCTCAGTGTGCCTTCTGTGAACTTCGGCTTTAATCCCAACAGTCCTGCAATGGAGCTCCCTTCACCAACTTTTAACCTAGGGTACAACACCATGCCTGGGATTCTCTTCAATGATCAAAGGGCAGCGTCATTCCAATCAAGAAACTTGACCCCCAATCTGAACATGATGCCCAATCTACTGGACCTTGCACCCAGTGCACCTATGCAAGCTCCGACTCTCAGCAACTCGATGGATGATTACTTCTCCCTCTCTTCATTTTTTACCGGCCTCTCCCTGTATCCCCCGTCAGTTTCGTCGGGAAGCAACACTGATCAGACTGAGATCACTGTCAGCAATGGCTACACTGATCAAACTAGCTCTTCCAATGACCAAGCCAATTGGTTTCTCACTGATTCGATTGGGGGAGGAGGGCCTCTAGGAGAGATGTTGAATTCTAGCTTTGGATGGAGATCATACACTCCTGGGGAATCTTCTACAATGAACCTTATGAATGAGAATTCGGAGTCGGTCTCCTCTCCAACTGCTGTGATCCTCACAAACATCGACTCGGAGGCCTACAGTAGCAATGGCAGTAGCCAGACCTAAGCTACTGGTGAAACCAGGTGATCAAGTCTAGCTAAACTCGGTTCTTGGGTCAAGTCATGGCTCTAGTCACAAGGTTCTTTGTCTGGTGTGGTTTTGTTTGGTGTTATGGTGTGGTCTTGGCAATAAGTTTGAAGGGAATAAAGTTGGTGAATTGGGTTTAGTAGTTGTGAGTCAGTTGTCTGTGCTTTGGTGAGTCTTGGTCTGCATTTGAGTATTGAGTGCTTCTTCTTGTCCTCCTCTCCTTTCATTGTGTTCCCCCTTTTCTACTGTTCGGGTGATGTTAAAGAAATAAATTGAGTCCATGATAATGAATAAAAGGTTTTGTTTGCTTTCATCTGATGGTTGTGAGTGTTCAAATGCCCTCTCTCTCTCTCTCTCTCTCTCTCTCTACTACTACTATATATATATATAATAATAATAGTACGTATGTTCTTCTACTAGTAACGTAACTTAACTTTTACTTTTTACGTTTTTACGTTTTAACGTTTAACGTTAACGT